GCCATGAAAGATGGCAACTAATGAGTTCTAATGCGAGAAACAATTTGCTAGGAACACCGGCAATCAAGAGGGAAGACGATCGAGGCCTTAGAAAAGGTTAGAAATGGAAAGAAGAAATAAAAGTGATGCTTTATGTGAAAGGTGAAAAGAAAGTGATGGAATTGGAAAGGGTGGCTGCCACGTGCAGTGAGGAAGAGAAGAATAAGCGTACGTTTAGTTCATGAATTTATAATTATGATTCAGAATTATTTTTAATTTATGTGTATTTTTTTATAGAAAAAATATTATAACGATTCACGAATTATGATTCAAACCATCGTACCAATAGGAGTCTGAGGTCACGATAACAGTTGTCCTACATTAATTCATTTGAAAATAAAAGGCTGCAACTAATTAATAATTGAAAACAATACTCGGTCGGGGTTGGGGTTCTCGGAGAATAAAAACGTCAAACCACAAGCCGAGACGAAGACCTCGGTTATGCATTTTTTATGACCGAAAAAAAAAAAAAAAACATGCTAATTTCATAGTGTGAGTATCCCTTTGATTGGTCTTTTGTTTTTTGAATTTTAGGTTGAAAAAGCTTAATGGGTCCTTATTATTTGGTAAATATCAAGTGCTCTAATGGTAGATTTGCGTTGTTGATGTATTGGTAGGGATAGTCGACCTGAAAGCTCACGTGGATCTTATTGAGAAACGAATACTAATGAATAATAAAAAATGGACAATCGTATTGTATCTATTATTAATACGATTTTACATTTAAAATTTAAATCAACCTATGAAGTTTTTAAGTATGTTTCGCAACTAAGTAATAAAAAAATAAAATTTAAATTTTTGTGAGAAAAAACACTGTTAATAATAGAATTTGAGTTGAAAAAAAAACAAGCCCTTTTTGATGTTATTTGACGCTGTCTAATTAAACATTGTCATATTATAGTGCAAGATCTAAATATTATTGATTTTCATGATCTTCACAAGATGTCATTGTTCAACATATGGCTGGGATAAAGACTTTGTTGAACTATACTTCTACAGCTACTAAAGAGTGATGATTAGTTAAGAATAACGGTTGTGAAATTCTCATCGTCATGGACAAACATTTTTCCCATCACAAGATGAATACAAAAGCTCAATTTGGGGTATGAAAGTTTGCACACAATGCGAATTTCCTTTGGTGGCTCGGCACTTTACTATCATCTTTATGCTTTTTTCCTTTTTTTACCATATTTGGGAACACTAGTCCTAAGAATTACAATCCAAAGAATTATTGATGTGAAGCTGGGGAACTACCTGTCAAGAAAGTAAAGAGTGGTATCCTATGGTACAACTTGGACTTGTGGATCATTCTAGCCCAACAAAATATATAAAAAAAAAAATTAAAAACCAAAAAATAAATAAAAAATAAGAAAAAAAGGGTGAGGCTAATGGATCCATGAGTACCTTTGCCAGGCTTGCAAGCAACTAGGTCCAGCCAATTTGATAGTCTGAAATTAAATTGAGAATTCATTTATTTACTGTGTTTAAATTTATAATTTTAGTTTAAATTTTAAATATTAAAATTAAAAATCATTAATTTAAATAGATAAACTAAACATATCCTCACTTTTAGAGGTACAACCCAAGAATGTTTATTTGATAATAAAATTAAAAGAAAAAAAAATTTATAAGTTTGAGATTTTTACCAATCATATCCACATAACTACACTCATGCATGCATCCAAACCATATATGGTACTTACTAGTCCTAGGGAAGGGTTACCACAGCACACCTCCCTAGGCCACAAGTACCACTTATTCTTTTCAAATTTACCCATTTTAACATGTTTGTCCATAATTATTGGCCATGATGACAGCCAAGAACTTCTATTTGGTCCAAATAAATTGTGACATAAATGATGATGAAAAATAATGCAATGGGTTCGTACAAAAAAAAAAAAAAAAAAAAAAACTCAATTTGTGATTTTGAGGATTCATTTAGATTGCTTGATACCAAAATGATGATATATATTCACCAATGCATGGGATATTGGGTCAAATAGATGTATTTTCAAGAAAGAGGAGAGGGTATGGAAGAGCTCTAAGCATGAACTTTCCTCAAAGTTGACAACTAGAAGTCATGTGAATTATGGGAGTAACGTTTCCATCATGTGCCCATGTCTATTGATACATTTTGGACGGCAAGAATTTTAATTTTCTCACGTGGGCATTACATTGAAAAAAGAAAGAGAACAAGAAAATGGTCATCATTGTGAAAGCTTAATGAAATGGAAGATTTTTTTCCTCTTTCTGTCTTTATCTCTACTTAAAACACATGGAGATGAATTCAAATAGCTTAGTTTTATATTATGTAATCCATTTGAATATCATTGCAAGTTTGAATTGAGGAAAAAAAAAGAAAAAGAAAAAAAGAGGAGTTTCAATGTACATACAACACTTAAATGATATTTAAATGGGTAATATACCTAGGTGAATGAGATAAAATAGTTTTCTCTCGTGTTATTTAGTAGAAGAGAAAGAAAAGTGAAAAGAAAATGTCAAATTTAAGACATTTAATGCTTCATCTTTTTACCTCTTATTTTGTTATTTTACATCTTATTTTTTTTGTCAAATTTTGTTCCTCATCTTTTCTTCTCAAAGTTAGAATGATTAAAAATTGGTGAGCCCCATGAATTTTTATTATCTTTTTTTCCTCATTTTTTCTCAACCAAACAACCTAAAATTCCATTTTCCTCTATAAAATCCTTATTCTATTTTTTTTTTTTTTTTTCTCTTTTCCACCCTACCAAACACACGGTAAGGATTGGGGGTTCTCTACAACTACACGTGTTGATAGTGTAAGATAGACGTGTAAAATGGTGCAAGTTGACACTTTCTTGAGCGAAAAGGAGTTTGGAATGAAGTTCCTTGCATTGCCAACTTTGTTCAATCTGCAAGTTGCAACCTTATTGGAGTCAGCATCATAAAGTGAAGCAGCAACTATTGAAAGGAATAAACTATATCTTGTTTCTTTCTTTCTTTTTATATATCTATATCTATATATACATATAGTGTATATACATATATATATATATATATTTGTGTCAATTTCTTATGCTTTTGGATTTTGATTAGTGATTGAAGGAATGAAATAAATTAAGCAGGCATGAGTTGGTTTACACACCAAATCAAGTGCACGTGGCATAATTTTAATTTTATTTTATAAGACTAGCGTATGATATTATTGCACATGGTTCTAACACAATTAGGATATTCTTCTGATGCTTTTCCAGGAAGCACCAAACGGTCTCCCACTATGAATCTTGACTCTGCAGGTTATTTAGTGGGCCGGGCCTCAACTTCTAGGCCCACTAACTGAGAGTACACACATGGACTGGGCTTAGGTTAAACATCTAATTCTGGTCAACACTAACACACTCATTACTATTTTCCCTCTTTGTTTGCTCTAATATTTCATGTTCATACCACTCTTCTCGAGTTATTTGGTAGTCTTTTAGTGATGATATGCAAATATCGTGCCTTGCAGGCCAGATTATGAGGATAAGTTCTTATAAGGTTATACTCCTTTTGTAGTTTTTGGACGTAAAAGTTCTTTTAACCTCTTCAAAATACTCGTGTGGAACCACTCAACAAGATGTTCCAACTTCTCATGTTCATGGTATAACAATTAGGGGTGACAATTCGTGTCACGTGTCATATTTTGATTGTTTCTTTTTAAATTTACTGTCAACCTAAACACGATCCGTGACACGAAATTTTTTAAAAACCGCAACACGAACACGACACACGACCACTTTACGGGTTGACACGACACGACACGAAAATGACCCGTGAACCCGAATTGACACGAAAATTGTATATTTTTATTTAGTTTTTTACATATTAGAAATAACTTAAAATTCATAACACACTAAAATACAATAACATCCATTGAAATTAAGTAAATAATAATATAAGATTTTAAGTATAACTATCATGATATCACAAGTTCAAAATAAAATAAAAAATATGTAATGAAAAATATGTATTTTTTAGTTTTTTACGAGTTTCGTGTTGTGTTCGGGTTAGGCGGGTCTAACTTGAAATTGACCCGTATTTTTCGTGTCAATTTCAGGTCGACTCAAACCTCTTTTTTTTTTTTTCCAGCCATAACCCATTTTTTATCAACTCTAACCCATAAAATTCGTGTCTTTTTTAAGTTCGTGACCCATATTGCCGGCCCTAATAACAACCCACATTGTAGTAGAGGTTCCAAGCTATGGTGTTATTTACATTTTTTTTTTCAGGTTTTGCCTTTTTTGACGTTTTGTCCACATAGCTTATTGAATTAGTATAAAGATGTGAGAGCCTGCTCGTAAAGAAATTAGGAAGAATATGAGATTTTAGTAATAACTTTTATGGTAGTGTATGAAAAACTATTTTACTACAGTTATTATCTCGGAAATGTGAGACTAGGATAAGATTTTGTTAAATGCACGTGCTATTTTAAAAACCCAACTTTCAGAAACACTCGGTGCTTGCAATGTGAAAAACTGAAAACAAAATGTAAAATTGTGCTCTCGTTGAGAGTCGAACTCAAGACCTCCCGCTTACTAAACGGGTGCTCTAACCAACTGAGCTACGAGAGCTGGTTGAGACCAACTTTGCATCTAATTGAATTAATTACATAGTTTTATATCTTAACTGTTACATAAACGACATGTTTTTGTTTGCTTTTGGGGATAATCAATCACATCATCACATGTTTTGTGCAACCAATAAAATAGAGGATTAAAATATGAGAAACCGCAAGAAGACACGCGACCAATCAAATCATTCGGGGTGACGTAGTAAATTCCCCTGCGGGTGATGCAATCAATCCTCTTTAATTTCCCTGACCGCCTTTGCCGTGGCAGTTAGGGGCAGTCCCGTAGTTTAACCGAAAACGCGTGGGCATTTTGGTCCAAAAAGGGGCACTATAAATACCTGAACGCCCACCAAAACTTTGGTAGAGAGTTTCTTCTCCACTCTCTCTCACAAACAGAATTTCCTCGTTCCTTCCTCACTTCCGTCTTCCTAGGGTTTCGATTTCCCCTTTTCTCTGTAAATTTCCTCGGACTGAGTTTGCAATAAAGCTGCGAAATTCGGCTCCGGCGTTACCCATTCGACGATTCTCTTCGGAGTTTTCTTTGTTTCTTTCTTTCAGGTTCAAATGGACTCCGATTCGTGGAACACTCGTTTCTCCACTTCCTCGAGGCGGTACCAGTCCCGATCAGGTTTAATTTCTCGAAATTATACGATTTTCTGGTTGTTTCCCTGGAAATTGAAGTGAATTTTTGCTCTTTTTTGAGCTCTGAGGTGTTGATCGGGGATTTAAGACTCACTGGTGAACTTGTGGAATTGCAGATCTGTATCGACATGAAGAGACCGACGGCGATGATGAGTTGAAGGCGGAGTTTCTCTGCCCGTTCTGCGCCGAGGATTTTGACGTCGTCGGGCTCTGTTGCCACATCGATGAGGAGCATCCAGTGGAAGCTAAGAATGGGGTATTGTTTTGTTTTGCATAATTTTTCCTTTTTTTTTTTCAATAAAGTTTTGGATGATAAAGTTTTTTGGCTTTGGACAGAGAGATTGGAATGTGTCATCAAACAATTGTTTGAGTGTTAAAATATGAAAATTCGTATTAAATGGACTTCACAAGCGCTGCAGCGACAAAAGAGACGCTGCAGTGGACAAATTGCACAAAGTTGTGCAGTTTGGTACGGCCAAACCCGCTGCAGCGCCAACTTTAGGCGCTGCAGTGGAAATGTTTTGCGCTGCAGCGTGAAACTGCGCGCTGCACCTCGGGCCTGTTTGGCTCTGTCCCGAGCGCTGCAGCGGGAAAAACACCCGCTGCAGCGCCAATTCTGCAGAAATCATACATGAATTTGTGTTTTGTGATATGAACGATTCGAACATTTGCATCCATTAGTGATGCATCCATTAGTGATATATTTTCACATATATCTGAACACTTATTAGTAATAGATATAACTATTGTAATAGGTGTATTAATCCATGAAGAGATACCTATTGTAATTGGTGTACCTCTATGTGAATGATTGTAATGTTTGAAAAGGATTCATTCATTCATGAAATAACACATCTGTCTTTATTAATTCTCCAGAATATTTATAGACTTATTTAATGTTCTGAAACACAATATTATTACTAGATATTGTGTTCAAGGATTTGTTGTATCTTGAGGGTAATGTGCAATAGAAACTTATTAACAAACTGTAAGAAGTGAGTGCAAATAAAACTTTAAAAGAAAGTATTCCTATACGCCTCAAACTCTCTTGTTTTCTGCATTCTTTTCGTCCTTTACACTCAAATTGTCCAACATAGTTTTCTTCATGTATGTGTATTTTTGCTTTTTGTTTTGTAATTACATGAAGTTAAATTAGTGTGAATATTTACTTTGTATTTTGGTGGGTTTAGGTTTTTCGCTTTTTTATAGTGTTCTATTTTGTAAGTTTTTAGCATATCCGAATGTGTAGAATCTCTGTATACTGTTTGGATTGTAGCTGTTCTGTTGCTTGGATTCTTTTTTTTTTTGATAACGAGTACTGAAGAACTCTTGTTAAAAAAAAAAAAAAAAAAAACTAGAGTCATATTGGGGTTTGTGGAACCAACACAACAATGTGGGTTTGTGGAACCAACACAACAATGCTTAAAATGTTTTAGAAAGTTTGTGGAAGTCATTGAACTTGTTGATTTATGGCAGACACTGAATGTTGTCTAGGTTTTAACCACTTATTAGTTGGTATGATAGTATCATTTATTGAATTATGGGTTTGAGTTGCTTTTTGGGAGTTTACTGGGGGAAGTGATCATTTTGCTGTTTTTCGCTATCTGCTTTTATTCCTTTAGATCCTAATATTGCTTTTGACTTGCATGATGTTCTGCTCATAGGCAATATTGTTTGAATGTAAATCTTTCAGGTATGCCCGGTGTGCGCAAAGAGGGTCGGGTCTGATCTAGTTAGTCATGTTACCACACAACATGGAAGTTTATTAAAGATATCCTTTATGCAAAAGTGTTTCTAGTTACAGTTTTTGATTGTGTTCTTGTTTTGATATGGTTTATCATGTTTGTGCTACCTTGCAAGGTTTAGTTGAACATTGTCTGATCCATAGTCGTTTACTTGTTTTCTATAGATTCTATCTTTGTGTCCCTCCTATTTGGCCTCTACAGTGACATGATTGAAAGCTTGAAAGCTCTTGTTTTCCTTTAGAATAATTACGTCAAGGTTGTACTTGAGCTTCTACACTGGAGGTCTCTATATTCATTGGTTTACTGCTACTATCTGCTTTATATATATGCTTGAGCGCTGTGTTCCTTGACCATACATCACGTGCAGCGCAAAAGGAAGTTTCGCAGGAATGGGTCAGGTTTGACATTTTCTTTACTGAGGAAAGAATTGCGAGAAGGATATTTACAAGCCCTCCTTGGTGGTTCTTCCCTTAATTATACTGGAAATTCAGAACCCGATCCTTTGATATCTTCATTTATGTGTAACGCACCTCCTGTTGATCAACCTGTAAGTGTAGAACCTCATCCTCCAGTTGAAGAACGCTCAGTGAAAGATCTATCAGAGCAAGAGTTTGGCGAAAGGTATGAACACTGACATAACTAGTTAAACTCTTTCTTCGATGGCATTTACTTGGTGTGAAAGAACGATGAAAAGGAACTGTGCTTAGCAAGTCTTGCATAAAAAATGATGCAAGGGGCTTTTCCTTTGGAAGTCTTTCATCAATGTAAAGGAGCTGAAAGTTGGTTGAGAAGGGATGTGCTTGTTTGAGCTAACTAGCTTAAGCTGCTAGCAATTCCTCTCTCTAGCTCTCACGCTGCATAGTCGCACGCTATCCAATGTGTTTCTGGTGAATTCGCGCCAATGTTCAAGCAAATTTGACACTGTTGTGTTGTGCAGAAATGTCCAACAGCCGCCGCTCTCACACAAGGAGCAGGAGGAGACGGTTCGGAAGTGCGAGTTCGTACAAGGGTTGTTGTTGTCCACCATCCTTGATGACTTATGAGCTAGCAGATATCCATTCAAAACTGGAGTTTGATGCATTAAAAGGTTGGAAGGGGGTCTCTGCTAATCTCGCGGCATTGGTGATAGTTAGGTCCGAGGAGCTATCTATAAAACTATTATTGTATTTAGAGTTTTATGTGCATAATGGAAAGATGGAAGTTTGTCTCATGCTGTTATTCTCTCCAAAACCGGGATATATGTGTGTGTGTGTGTATATATATATGCATGCATGTATACCGTAGTATTATATGATAGTAATGCTCAGGCCCTCAATCAAAGAGACAAATATTGATAATTTAAATCTAAAAATATTTTGATAGATAAAAATAGAGAAATTTTCGCGAGGATCATCATCATTTAATATTAATTTATTATGATTATTATTATTATTTTTATCATTTTAAGGAAATACTGTTGCCATTTTCATCTTTGCGCTCAATTCCATGGGAAAATTAAGTTGCACGAGGATGGTATTTTAAGAACTAAATAAGAACACTAACAACTTAGGTCGTAACATTTCTAACATGGAAGAGAGAGAGAGAGAGGGAGAGAGAGAGAGTCGTTCCAACATAAAAGTAGGATATCCTTTTCTACTCATTTTGGTGGGAAATGTCGACCCAAATAATGATATCACCTTTGAAATAAAAAACCATTTATGTGTTGAAGGTACCTAAAACATTGTCGGTGAAGTTGGAAATAAAAAGCCTGGTAAAGAGGAGAGAAATAAGGGCATCACGAAAAGAAATTCAACTCAACTAGTAGTAGGGGGTGTAAGAATTAGCCCTGAACCCAAATCGATCATACTCGAGTAATTCAAATTTTTTTTTTTCAAATAGTGTCAACCCGCAATTTGCAGGTAGGGGTGCGGGTTGGGCCTCCAAGACTCAATTATACCCCGACCCGGCCGAAATGCAAAAATAATGGCGTTATTAAAAAAAACCCTAGGTCTTGAAGTCTCCTCCCTCTCTCCTTCTCTCAATTTTGTGCCGCTCTCCTTCTCCTCGCCTCGCCTCTGCTCCGTTCCTCCATAGTCTCTCCCTTGCCGTTTGTTCTCACTTTCTCAGTCCTCACTAGTCTCTTCTTCTGCTGTCGTTCCTCTTCTTCTTCTTCTCACAAAATCCCTTGCTGTTGAAGGTTAGAAGCAGAGGCTCTGTTCTCACACTCTCCCCATTCTCCCCTCATTTTCATTTTTTTCTTGTTTTACTTTTAATATAGGATTGACGTTGCTCATAATATTCGATGTTATGTTTAATTTTTTCAATTAATTGTGGTTATCATTTTCCTTGATCTGTAAGATTATATGGTAGTATTTATTGTATAATACATTAATTTACTACTATGTATTGTAGTATTACGGAGTTTACCCATGACAAATCTTGGTTTACCCGTGGCAAAGCAACAAAGAAGCAGCAAATTTAGAGTTAGTTTACCCAAAGTAACCCAGCCGACCTGAGGTTACCCAAGATAACTAAATGGTGTACAGATTCTGGGAGCAAGTGACCTATTCCGGCCTACAGTTTTCTCAGCCCGATTCTTGCAGGCCAGCCCAAAACTTACCAAAAATCCGACATTTCACCCCTATCCACTAGGCAATAATTTAAGCTCAATTTATTTTCAATTTAGCTGCGATACACAATCACACAGCAAAACAACAATATGCTCAGTTACATTGTAAGAAAGTAAGAACGTGTTTCCGTTCGCAAAAAGCTAAAACCATACAGAAGATGTGCTCCTTTCTACAAAAGGCCAGTAACCAGAGTTGTCATCATCATCAAGAACAAGAATCTCAGTGAAATCCTGATATACATAATGTCAATCCTCCCAACACCCAAAATAGAGTGTTTATTCAACGATCGTCTCGGCCAATCCTTCACTTTTTCCTATACAACCCTAAAAAAAACTATGATAAAAAATGTTCTGATTAATATTTTTGACAAACACAGATACCGCGGGACAATCCATAAATATACTGATAAAAAGGTTAGCCTTCAACATGAACAGTTGGCTGGGGACTACTGCTTTCTTTTGCAGTATTATTGACTCATTGACATTTAGGAAGTCAAAACAGCTAGTGTCAAACTCTGGTTTTCACCTCCTGGGCAAGTGATGCGACGCGAAGAAACTATAGTCGGGGTGATTAACCTGCAATAGTCTGAGCCAGTTATCAGCAGCTCGCAATAAAGAATTAGATTTCTGGCACTCATCAACACCATTAGTATTCCAAAAGGAAACTTTGAACTTGTAGGAGGCAAGACCGAAGATTGGTAATGACAGTTTGGAACGAGCATGGTGAACCTCTCTAGGTCTCGCACCCTTAAAATGCAGCCAATCAGTGCTTGAACCTGCCCCAAACAACATAGATGCCTGTAACGAATATTCCAGCAGTAAAAAACAAAAGCACATATACATATACACTCACAGGGAGGGAGAAATACCTTGAAAGGGTGTTGACAGGGAATGAAAGGTCAAGAAGCAGGCTTCCAGATTCTGTAGTGTCGGACCCGTAGGTATTCTATATATGGGATACCTTCATAGAACATGAAAATAGCAAAATGTTCAGAATTCTAATCCATATGCAACCCCCAATGTTAATAATCATATAGGAAAACAATAAAGCACATACCATGAAACAGAAATCCAACTGGAGGGCAATAAATCACAACTCCTATACGTCCTCAGTTCTGGAAATTGAGATGCAAGGACTGAGATCTGTGGAATACAAACTAAGTATTATATGTTAGAACCACAATAAAGTTCTTGAGAAGACTATAACCATAGTGCCAAAGACGACGCTACACTTGCCTTATCAGCTAAAGGTTCACGGCTATATGGTGGATCCCTCTCTAAATATTCAAACACAAGACGACCTGGAGGATTGCATGTCTCGCTTTCATCACTTGAGGAACCCATGGAGGGTTTACTTTTACTTGATACTCCTTTCCAACCATAGATATTAGGCTCAGTAGTGTTATTACGGCTCCAAGCACCATGGACAGCATTGTTAAATCCTTTTTCTGCCCCATACTCACTGCTGCCATCACTAGTTGTTTCTCTAGATGACTCGGCATCACTCTCATCTCCAGGCTTCCTGTAACAAGATGCAGACAAAAGGGGTGTGAAAGCCATCTCTCAACAGGCCACCTTCACCAAAAGCTTTGATCTAAATAGGCCACTCCATGCCAAGTCTTGTTATACATTTCAAAGTTAAACACAATCAGTACATGATTAAAAAAGATCAATCATAAAGGATTTGTCCGTTTCTTCCGAGCTTTGTCTCTATCTCATCAATTTAAAGATCGACCCAGAGCATCTAAAATTCTTGCAAAGGGATGTCAACTAAGAGATCATAGTGGAGATCACAGTGGAAACCATAAATTATGTGTGAAAAAATCCAGAACATTAGTTTAGAATTTTATGAGGAAATAAAAAAACAGGTTTCATCTGCTTCACTAAAGAAATTAAAAGTCACTCGATAGACTTTCCCAACAATGCTACACAAGCCCACCCTTTACCAAAATACAAATGCCATTTAACATCAAACCAGGAATAATTAAAGAAAATTTGCAGCTATCCTTTTTCCTAAGGGCTCATATACAACCGCAATTAGATATTGCTCACCTTAGCGTAGGGAAGGGCTTTGATGGGTCTACATAGAGCTGGATGCCGGACAAATAAGGCACATAGTACTGCATGACTGAGTCACTCCTGTTCAACAAAAATGGCACGCCGGCCCCGTATGCGCTCCATTCTTTAAAGGACTCCCACAAATCTCCAAGAACAAAATAAGGATGTAGCTCTGGCTCCCGAGTTCTCCATTGTCTCACGCTAGTCTATCGAATTCGCAAATTCGCACCAAATAAGAACCACTTCTATGATTATTTATAAACAAGCAGAAAATAACTCAAATAAAGAAACAGAAGTAATTTCTTTGATATATTCCTCTCAACTTATCTTCAAAAGATCAAGAATTTACCTAAGGATTGCGTAGACCCAGTTTATGTTCAAGATTATCTGGCGCCTAATTTATAGAAGGAATAAATAAAGAACAAAACTTTCTAATTATGAATTTCCTATTTTTCTTCCAATACATAATCTTCTCCGCAACCTAATTGTTGCATTTCCATTATCCGAAAAACCAAATAAAACTATTGCCTCCTCATCTGACGAAACTTTTTTCGTTCTTCTCAATATAATAATGAAATTCAATTATCCAAAAAATCCACAGCATACATTACTCAATTTATATACCCCAAAACGCAACCAAACAAAGGCCTAAACCTTAAACACAACACAAATTAAAAAAAGAAAACGATTTTCTACAGAAAAATTTCAAACCTTTTCAATTACCTTAGGGAAATACTGAGCCGAAACCAGAGGTGTGGTGTACTCCAAGAACCGATCCAAATTACTCCCGTCTCCGCGAGCCGAGACCGAGCAAAAAGACGACGCACAGTCTTCCGCCGCCGCCGTTGCCGTTCTCTTATCGGACTCCGCAGAAGAAGCCGGCGAGACCTTCGACTCCGCCGCGGCAGCCGCCGAATTCTGCCGCTGCTGTCGTTTTTGCTCCTCAAGTTGTTGTTGTCGTTGTCGTATCGCCGGCGGGTTGTAGAATCGGTTCTCTCCGCGAGCCCTGGCGAACGAAACGCCTCCTCCTCCGGAACCAGACATTTTCCAAACGCGTAAATACGGCGTCGTATCGCTTGCCAAGCTCACTGTGGCGGTACTGGTTACAGTTTTCTCTAGGGTTCAACTTCTTCAATTCGCTCGCAAAGTATTTTTCTTGGAGACGAGAGGTATTTATTTATTTTTTTAATAATTTGTTTGTCGTGTTTAATTAGGATCGGATAATAAAAAAAATAGGAAATTTGAAATGAGTGGCGTAATATGAGGAAGAGAAGAGATTTATTTTTTATTTTAATTTTACTTTTTTAAATTTGGTTTTGAGGAAAAAGCAGAAGGGTCGCTACGTGAGAGAACAGAATTATTGGCTTGGGCTTGGGCGCTTGGCTTTGGATTTTTCTAGATAACTCCAATTATTTTACTGATTCGTTTTCTTAATTAATATTTAAAGTTTGATAATTTTTATCGACTTGACGGTTTTGTCCTTGGGGGTTGTTTTCCCAAATGACGTGGTTTGCGAGGCCCTTCTAGAATTCGTTATTCTAGGAAGCTTCTTCTCCAGGGATGACGTGGTTGGTGGGATGAACTGATTGGGCCTTCATCATTGATTTTTTAATTATTTTTTATTGTTTTATTTTATATTTTTTCTAATCATCTTAGTCTTCGGTTCCGTTTATTTTACGGATTTAAGTTTAAAATTTGAATTTTATTACAATAAAAAATTATCAAAAACAGTCATATCTAACTTTTTTATTATACTAAAAAACTCTCACATAAAATCATATCTCAACTTAAATTAAAAATTCGAATCAACGAACTAAACGGACCATTCAAATTATAAAAATTGACCCTTGAACATATTTTATAGAGTTTTTTTTTTGTTTTTTTGTTTTTTTGTTGTGATAAGTTAATAATATGTTAAATTATAGATAATAATTTATTAATTTTAAACAGTAATATATTAAATTACGCCCGCTGACGACTAACAGACCCACCAACTGCGATATCTGGTAAATTATCAATAATAATTTATCAAATTACTTACTTTAAAAGGGTAAAATTTAATATGTTAATGTTAAGATTTAGGGCTTGTTCTTTTGAGTGAAAAATTCAAAAAAAGGCAACTCGAGTTACAACTTTATTTGAGTTCATGTTCTTTTAAGTTTAAACTCAAGTTTAAACTCGAGTTCAAACTCGAGTTTATGAATAAAACTCGAGTTCAAGTTTCCTCTTCAACTCGAGTTCAGAAACTCGAACTCAAATTAATGAACAATATTTTTTCTATTCTTAAAAATGCTATAACTTTTTCGTTTTAATTCTGATTAAGATGATTTTTTTTTCTATGCGTTGATGACGAAAAGATAAATAAAACCCGACCCATATACCATATTAAAATTTTTCATCAGCATTGAGTTTTTATTAAAATACTATCTAAATACAAATTCAAGTTTTGACTCACTCAAACATAAACTCAAAAAGATTTTTATCTCAAACTATAACTTAAATGTACACAACTAAACACAAACTCAAGTTACAAGTTCAATTCAAATTATAACTCAAATTTAACTCAAGAATTATATTCAAGTTAAATTCCAAAAGAACAAGCCCTTAAAAATCTTTAATGGTGCTATTATTTTAAAGGGTATCACCGTGCAGATCTCGTGCCTTTCGTCATCGTTGTCGTCATTGAAGAAGACAATCAGTGTGTTGGTGCTGGCGAAGCGGACGAAGAGGACGACAATCCAGCAATCAGTGCAGGAGAAGACAAAGCCATGAGAATTGCGAAGGTAGAATCATCGTGTTGTCAAAATTGTGAAACCCGCGATGATGTCAGTGTTTGTGTTGATTGTTGGAATTTGGAAACCTCATAGATAATTTGGATATGCGTTTCGTGATCTACTTGCAATGATCGGCCTTGCGACGATCGTTGGTAAGGGTTTTGCTCATCTTGATGTCGCGATTCTTCAAGCAGACTTTGTCGTGATCTTTCTCGTGAGATAAAGATGAAGCTCCACAATGATAGTGCCATAAAGAGAGAGAGAGGGCGGGATATTTTAGTAATTTTATAAAGAATATGCTATTAATTTTTAATCAGCTAAAAATCGTGCTATTATTTTCTATCCCCCTAAATATGTTATTTCCTCCATTGTGCCTTACACAAAATGACTACTTTTAAACTCCATCTTTAATTTAAGTGGTTATATAGTTTTAAAATTTCCAAGTCATGAAGTGTGGAATAAAGACACCATTTCTTATCCACTTAAATAGTTACTCATTTAAAAGTTTTATGCTATAAAGTTAGCAATAACAACATTTTAGTCAAACTACGAAATTTAATATAAATTTATGATGGAAAAACAGGTTATATAAGCAAAACGTTTTTTTGTTTGTTTAACTAAAATTATGTCGTTTATGTGATATAAAACACTATAATAAAAAAGTTGAATTTGAGGTATATGGTGACGTTTATTGATGACTTCTCCAGATATGTGTGGGTTTAATTTCTTTATGAAAGAAAAATCTGAAACTTTCTCAAAGTTTCAAGAATTCAAAGCAATAGCTGCAGGAGAAGTGGAACATGAAACCTACAGTTAGCTACTTTCGAGTATTCGGCTGTGTTTGCTATGTATTTGTTCCTAACCATTTAGGTAGCAAGTTTGACAAGAAAGCAATCAGATGTATTTTTGTGGGATACGACAGCCAGAGAAAGGGTGGAAGTGTTGCGATCCTACAAGTGGAAGATGTTACACATCACACGAGATGTAGTCTTTGATGAAGCATCTTCATGGTGGTCCCTAGACACGAAAGAAATTGAAGAAAAGCTACAACAAAAGATGCTTTTTTTTTTCCCCTTCTCTTGCCTTTGACCCTATGTGTGTGTGTACATATATATGCATATGTCTATATATATATATATATATATTATTTTATTGAAGATACTAAGTCTTATGTTTATTCATTAATTTTCATAGGGCCGAATCCTGGTGTTGACGGTGGAAGATAAAAAGTTACAGCTCATAGCTGAGAAGGAAACTGAAGGGGCTGTTTACTGTTTAAATGATTTTCAATGGCAAATTACTTTGCTGCTATTAATGAAAAGATAGAGTTATATAAGTGGATGATTCGAGATGATCTAGTTCATGGGAGTTGCAATTTGAATGTGGACATCTTGAGAGTAGGAATTTCGCAGTATATACGCCTGTCTACTGTGTTCAGACTCGTGGTTCCGTCATTGTTGTTGGCGAGGGCGGGGTGTTTCAACGAATCTACTCCTTGACTTACAAGGTAATAATATGCCCCTGCATATATTTCCAAATTTTATTCACTAGTCTGTTTTCTTTTGTGGAATAATTCGAACACTAGAATCTTGGGTAGAGGTGATAATGATTGTGAGCATAATGTTCATGTTTCTCCTTGTACCAAGAGAAGTGGGTATTTTTATTAATGCCTTGTATGTGCTCAATGGAATGCATTTAGTGGTGTGTCAAGTGTCGTGTTCGTGTCGTATTTTGATCGTTTCTTTTTAAGTTTGTAGTTAACCTGAATACGACCCGTGACACGAAATTTTTTATAAACCACAACATAAACACGACCCGACTACTTTACGGGTTGACACGACACGACACGAAAATAACCCGTGACATAAAATTGACCCGTGAACCCGAAATTGATACGAAAATTATATATTTTTATTTAGTTTTTTTACATATTAGAAATAACTTAAAATTCATTACACACTAAAATACAATAACATCTATTGAAATTAAGCAAATAATAATATAAGATTTTGAGTGTAACTATCATGATATCATAAGTTCATAATAAAATAAAAAATATGTAAAGAAAAATATATGTATTTTTTAATTTTTTACGAGTTTCGTGTCATATTCGGGTTAGGCGGGTCCAACTCGAAATTGACACGTGTTTTTCGTGTCAATTTCAAGTCGACCCAATTCTGACCCGACCCTCTTTTTTCTCAACTCTAACCTGCGAAATTCGTGTCGTTTTCGAGTCGTGTTGTCGTGTCGTGACCCATATTGCCGGCCCTAAATGCATTGTTCACTTGTTCAATGTTATCATCCGTTGAGATTCTTGATGATTACACTTTCCTTGCTGCTGCAAACAACTCCAATATCACCAGTTTACAAAACAATGAAGGTGTTTATACAATGCGCAAACTTGACGTGGTTGGCGAGTATCACCTTGGAGAATTTATCAACAAGTTCCAACATGGCTCCCTGGTGCCATATTCTGATGCGTGTCGGATTCCAACTGTCACTTTTGGTTCTGCCAGTGGTGTAATTGGGATCATTGCTTCCCTCCCTCGTGATCTATGTCTTCAATGCTATAAAATATCCAGAAGCAAGTGATAGTTGCTTTTGGATCGATGAAGTCGAAGCTATAGTGTCTAACCATGTGGGTTAATCAGATCACTTAGAGGCTAGCTTATTGTAAAATGATTCATGCCATCAATTGAAAAGCCGCCAAATCTCGAACTAAAACCATTACCGGCACATCTCTGTTATGCATATCTTGGTGAATCATCAACTTTACTGGTAATCATTTCCTCGGCACTCTCTCTTGAAGAAGAAGATAAGTTATTAAGAGAGCTGAGGGACCACAAGTCTACAATTGGGTGGTCTTTCGCATATATTAAGGGAATTCACCCATCTATGTGTATGCATCGCATTCTGTTGGAAGACAACATCAAACCATCCGTGGAAGCACAACGAAGACTTAATCCAACCATGAAAGGGGTGGTGAGAAAAGAAGTGTTAAAATGGTTAGATGCAGGAGTGATTTACCCAATCTCAGATAGCTCATGGGTGAGTCCAGTGCAAGTAGTGCCCAAAAAAGGAGAAATGACGGTAGTGAAGAATGAAAATAACGAGCTTATCCCTACAAGAACTGTTACAGGATGGTGAATCTACATTGATTACAAGAAGTTAAATAAAGTCACACGAAAGGATCATTTTCCTTTACCTTTTATTAATAAGATGCTAGATCGGTTAGCGGGCCATGAGTACTACTATTTTCTAAACGGCTATTCCGGATACAATCAAATAGCCATAGCACCAGAGGACCAAGAGAAGACTACATTTACATCTCTATGGCACTTTTGCTTTTCGAAGAATGCCGTTTGGATTATGCAACGCCCCTGACACTTTTCAAAGGTGTATGATGGCTATTTTCTCAGACATGGTGGAGCGGATAATTGAGGTATTTATGGATGACTTTTCTGTCGTTGGAAATTCATTTGATGATTGCCTTGACAATCTTAAACAGGCGCTAATCCGATGTGAAGAAACTAACTTAGTTTTAAATTGGGAGAAATGTCATTTTATGGTGCGTGAAGGCATTGTTTTAGGCCACCGGATTTCTTCCAAAGGCATTGAGGTTGATCGAGCTAAGATCGAGACAATAGAAAAGTTACCGCCACCAACATCAGTAAAAGGGGTAAGGAGTTTTTTGGGTCACGCGGGCTTCTATAGAAGATTTATCAAGGACTTTTCTAAGATCTCCAAGCCACTCTCAAGTCTCCTGGTGCAAGGCACTTCTTTTGTTTTCAGTGAAGAGTGTCAACAAGCATTCTCTACTCTCAAAGAGAAACTTGTGTCAACACCTATTGTTGTAACTCCAGATTGGGAGTTGCCATTTGAATTGATGTGCGATGCGAGTGATTATGCGGTAGGGGCTGTTCTTGGGCAACACAAGAATAAGATGTTTCATGCTATTTACTACACCAGTTGCACTCTCAATGATGCTCAACTTAATTATGCAACCATAGAGAAGGAGTTATTGGCAATTGTGTTCGCCTTCGACAAGTTTCGACCTTACTTAATTGGCAATAAGGTAATTGTTTTCACAGATCATTCTGCAATTAAATACCTTATGACCAAGAAGAATGCTAAACCGAGACTCATCCGTTGGGTGCTGTTATTACAAGAATTTGACCTGGAGATAAGAGATAAAAAAGGAACAGAAAATCTCGTGGCAGATCTCCTCTTTAGACTTGAATTACCGAAGGAAGAAGAAGTGAAAAAGCCTCCAATTGATGATAAATTTCCTGATGAGCAACTATTCACTATTTCCTCTACAAAGCTGCTTCCTTGGTATGCCGATATTGTGAACTACCTTGCAGCCAAAATTGTACCTCCGGAATTTTCTTATCAACAAAAGAAGAAGTTCTTCTCCAATGTCAAGCATTATTATTAGGAGGAACCGGTGCTTTACAAACATTGCGCAGATCAAATTATTCAGAGATGTGTCCCGGAAGAAGAGATTGAGGATATCCTAAGGCATTGCCATACACTTCAGTGCGGAGGCCATTTTGGGGGAAATCTAACTGCCGCTAAAGTTCTCCAATTGGGATTCTATTGGCCAAGCTTGTTCAAGGATGCTTATGCTTTCGTGACTGCGTGCGATAGATGCAAAAGAACGGGGAATATTTATAGGAGGAATGAAATGCCACTGCAAACTATTCTAGAAGTGGAGTTATTCGACGTATGGGGAATTGACTTTATGGGCCCGTTTCCTTCATCTTATAACAACAAGTATATCCTTTTAGCAGTGGATTATGTTTCCAAATGGGTGGAGGCATCGGCAACTCCAACAAATGATGGCAAGGTGGTGCTAAATTTTCTCCAGAAAAATATTTTCACTCGATTCGGGACTCCAAGGGCTGTAATTAGTGATGAGGGATCTCACTTATGTAACAAACTATTTGAAACTCTACTGGCAAAATATGGAGTCAAACATCGAACTACGCTAGCATATCACCCTCAAACGAATGGCTAAGCTGAGATATCAAATAGAGAGGTGAACCTAATTTTAGAGAATACTGTTCAAAGATCCAGGAAGGATTAGGCAAGGAAGCTTGATGACGCACTTTGGGCTTATCAGACGACATTCAAAATGCCAATAGGGATGTCTCCATATAGGTTAGTTTATGGAAAAGCATGTCACCTTCTAGTCGAATTGGAGCATAAAGCATATTGAGCCATGAAGCAGTTGAATCTGGACATGCAAACGGCCAGTGAAAAGAGACTTCTGCAGATTAACGAGATGGAGGAGTTCCGAAATGATGCACATGAGAATGCTAAGATTTACAAGGAGCGAACAAAGGCTTGGCATGACAAGCACATTTCAAGAAGAGAGTTCAAGCCGGGCCAACAATTGTTGCTATATAATTTAAGGTTGCGCTTATTTCCAGGAAAGCTCAAGTCCAGATGGTCAGGGCCATTTACCGTGGTGAGAGTATTTCCCTATGGAGCAGTTGAAGTCACTCATAATGCAAAGGGAACGTTCAAGGTCAACGGACAACGTTTGAAGCAATATATTAATGGTGGCTTTGATCAAAAGAAGACCAACATTCTCCTGAACTCACCATAAGAAGCAAGACGTCGGGCTGATGACGTTAAACCAAGCGCTTCTCGGGAGGCAACCCGAGCCTTCTAACATCTTTTATTTATTATCATTATTTTTATTAGTTTATTTTAGTTTACTTATTGTGTTTTAAATTAATTGATAAGTTAATAAACAAGTTTGAGGGTTGCTATAAGGATTTACAATTGAAATGAAGCTCAAGATGGCATGAAAACACAAATTTGGCAGCAGCAGTGGTGTTTTGGCGCCCATCTGAGTGCTTTGGCGCTCAAAATAGAGTGTTTCAGGCAAAAGTGACGGAGCACGTAGCGCCTTGGCGCTACCTAAAAAAAAAATGACAATCAGCAGAAGGTAGCGTCGCAGCGCTGAAAAGTAGCGCCGCAGCGCCAGTTCGGGATGGCAGGCATAAAACATGCCCATACACTCATTCTTCTTCATAGTTCTTCCAAAACTCATGCCAAAACACACACAACCGTCCCCAAAATCCACCTTCACTCTGAAAATTTCTTGCAAACATTCTCAATCCGCCTCTAGCTGATCTCACTTTAATCCATTCTCATTGAATCCAAGAACTGCAAGAGCTGGGACAAGCACCAACCGTGGGGTCTTGAATACCGTGGTGGTCCTCCATCCGAAGAAAGGTTAGTTTTGATTCCCATTGTGTTGTTTTGAGACTTGCATGTTGAATTGATATGGAATAAGGGTATTCTCTGTGAGTGTTGAAAAATTCGGGGGAAGTGAGATGTTTTAGCATAAGAAACATGAGTTTTGCTATCCTGCACGCTAGCTGTTTGTCACAAGTCCTGAGAGGACGTTTTTAGTGTATCTGAAAAGGGTGGTTCTAGAACAATACATGCCATGATTAAGGGAATTCAGCAAGTCTAGGGGAGAGTGTTTTTTGGGTGTTGCTTCGAAAAAGGGATGTTAGTTTGGACGTGGTTCTCGGTTGGCATATACGTTGCTCAATTTTCATGGCTTCCAAACGTCTGTGCACTTCAACTCCGGAAGCTTCATCTTCTAAGAAGGAAAAATTTGATAAAGTCAAATTTATAAGCTTTGAAGCATCAGAGAGGTATAAACAATCTATGGTAAAAAAAAAAATTGTGTTCCAGAGAGAGGGATTAACTACCCCAGTACGCTTATGAATGAGCACATCAAGGGCCAAAATTGGCAAGAGTTTGTAAAGCAACCAAAGACAGCACTAGTTCCAGTGGTTCGAGAATTCTATGCCAATACCAAGGAACATAAAAACAAGAAAGTATATGTCCACGGTAAATGGGTGTCCTTCGATAGTAAGACTATCAACATGTATTATAAACTGCCCGATATAAAGGATGCTGAGTACACTCAATATCGACAGGAACCCGACACGGAAGAGATTATTCGGTACTTGACAAGTTCTCGTGTAAGCTGGAAGAAATCTACCATAGATGTTATTAACTTCTTTTCATCCGAGCTAGCCCATGAGGCAAAGGCATGGCATTATTTTATATCTGCCAAATTGCTTCCGAGCAATAATATTTCTGAGGTGACAAAGGAGCGTGTGATTTGAATTATGCTATTTTCATGGACTTTAGCATAGATGTGGGGAAGATCATTGAGAAGTCCATTCTTGATACAATCCAAGGAAAAATGACAGGGGGACTTGGACATCCATCATTGATTTATGATTTGTGTCATCAAGTAGGAATTCCAACGACCTCAGATGAAGAAATTCAACACCCAAAGTCAGTCATAACTCGGAAGAAAATGGAGAGCTACAAGTCTAATGATCAAAGGCCCACTATAGCTCCAACTGCACCACTACCTGGCCCTAGTTCTTCTGGACAACTGAATAATTCCTCAACAGAACTGAATGAGCTGAGGCATTGCGTAGACCAATTACAACTTATGGCGCACGAACAACAACAATGGCGGGAGATAGTTGATCAACATTTGGGCCAAATTCAATATAATCAAGATCAAATTGCTGCAAGACAAGATGTGCAATTTGACTACCTGGCACAGTTCACTACAAGTTTGGGGGAAATGTGTTCCAATTGTGCACTTACTTCTGGACCTGATAGAATTATCTTTCCTCAACCTCCGACTCTACCGCCATACACACCAGCCAGACGCCACCATCCTACCCCCGCACGTTCTGCACTTCCTCCTGATGACAATGAAGACAATGATTGACAACTCCTCAGGGAAGTCCTTTAACTCTTGTTTTTCTTTTTCATTGAGGACAATGTCAGTTTCAAGTTTGGGGGAGTTAACTATCTCATTTTTTGTCGTTTAATTCAATTTATATAAAAAAAAACTTGTGCTTTGGTTCGGCTTGTTTCACCCCGGCCAATGATGAGACAACGATTGAACTTAACTATGGCTTCTGGGAGACAATGAATAATTTGATTGTTTGTGTGCTTGACTTGTTTGTTGGTTTTACTCTACTTATGATTTGCTTGCATTGTTGAGCGCATAACTAAGAGCACTTGGCCATTTTGTGAACTTAGAGAAAGTTTATGTGATTTTCATGTTTCTTAAGATCTCACTGGACTCTAGAACTTGTTTGATTATCACTCGAGGTGAAATCCCAGGCAATTTATCACTAAGGAAATGATTTAGGTCATTTTTGGATCGTTTGAACCGTTTGAGCTTACCCTGTTATAATAATATCCCTAGTCACCTCGTTGAGCCTGATTAAACTTTTCTTTGTCATCCACATTATTAGCTTAGCTTTTAAATAAATCCTATCATTCACCCTTTCCCTTAAGCTTGTTGATTATTCTAGGATGCACATTGAGTTGTGTTTGGAATTGGGAGGTGTATTGATATTTTCTATAATTTGTTTGATGTCTCCAAATGAAATTCTGTATTTTTTATTATTAATCCGAAAAAAGAGAGAGAAAGAAATAAAGAGTGGAGACAAGAATGTTGATGGCAAATGGCGGATGTATTTGGGATATTAAGTTAGAAGTTCTACAAGAGGATCCTAGAGTAATTGATTTGTTTAGGGAATTTAGAGCCTTATTGATATCCTTTTATCCTACCTTAATCCATAGCCATTCAATTCAAGCTTAATGAAGTCCTATTGATCCTTGGTGGTTTGTTGACCGACATTAGTGGAGAGTGATAAGAAAAGCAAGCCTATGGAGTTCAAAAAATCAGAGATCTACCTTGATTCATTTAATTGCATAAACTCATCTGAGTTGCATTTGGGTATGTGTAATTGATAATTCACACACACACACATAAAGAGTCTTAGGTGGGCGTGAGATTAGCATTTGAGTTGAAATTCTAAACTTTCAAAAAGTTTAAAGTCTTTCTTGAGCTATAACTTATGTGAGACCTCTGAGGCATTTTTTTTTTGTGAAACAACGCCGAATCAATACTCAAGCAAGGTTTCATTTATTTACGTTTTGTATTATTCATGTTTTCATTTTTTTTAGTTTTCTTTCTTTCATTTTTGTTTGCTCGAGGACTAGCAAAATATTAAGTTTGGGGGTATTTGATGAGTGAGTTTTTACTCGCTCATTTAGTATTGTTTTACACTTAATATCTAGTTGGTTTTCGAGGTTTTTGTTAGTTTTTATGTGTGTTTTCGTTCTTTGTTTGAAGGTTAGGTGAAAGTCTATGATTTGGAAGGTTTTGGACAAATTTCGGTGGAAAAAGATAGCAAACATAGCGCTTAGGCGCCAATCTGTAGTGCCTTGGCGCTGAGTTTTACAGAATCAACGCAGTGGGTAGAATGGGTGGCACTTTGGCGCCAGTCTGTAGCGCCTTGGCATTGAAATCCGATGGAATTAGTGCAGTGGGGCAGAATGGGCAGCGCTTTGGCGCCCATGACAGCGCCGCAGCGCCCATGATTTTTACACAATAGCGCCGCAACGCTAGGAACTCAGCGCCGCGGTGCTACAACGTAAGAAAAGAAGCGTTTTGAAGGCTAATCGCGAGAAAACTTACCCGTTTTGACCCTAATACTTCGAAACATATAAATAGATGATTCTAGGGCAATTAGAAGGGACTTTTTAGACTGGAGAGTGACGGCTGGCTTTTGGGAGAAGATTCAAGAGAAGAAAAGGAGAATTGGGTACGGAGAAGAAGAACAAGTCAAATCCGGAGACGGAGACGCTTCAATTCAATTCCAAACTAGTTCTTTTCTTTCCTTTCCAATGATTAAGACTTGTTTAGGAATTTATTTTGTTTAGAGATGAACTAATTCCTTTTTCTAGGGCTACGATGTAGCCGGATTATGAATGTTCAGATTCTCAATCTTATTTTTAAGTAATTGATGTTTAATTCATATATGCTGAGTATTTCAATTTTTTTGTAATGCTTGTGATTGTTTGGCCAACTATTACATGATTTTGTATTTGATTTGAGACTGAGAAGTGATAATAAAATAAGCTCTTAATTGAAATACCGTGAGTTGTTCATAGGATAGAGATATCTATGATGCTTGTGCAGTTCTTTTGAATTTCTTGCACTTAATGATTTTCAACAGGTTTAGAAGTCTGACAGAGATGTAGAGTTTGCTTGGTGGATTAAAGTTATTGTTACTTGAGAAAGAATAATAATTGCTTTAGAGAAATTACTGTCAGTATAGGATTGAATGTTAATTTTCTTGAATTATGAGAATTTGAACATGATTAATTTTGGTGAAATTGGAAACCCTAGAGTCTTAATCTATTGAATTTTATTCCACTAATTGACATTGTTTTATTTATTTTATTGTTTTAGTTTTTACTTTATTTAATTTTATAAAATCTCTTTTCGATTATTCAATTAAAACTGGAGTTAATATAATTTCGGTAATTAGTAAACAACAATAATCGTGGGACGATATTTTTATTCACTATTATATTACTTGATTGCGATAGCGTATACTTGCGTTACGATTTTTCACACCAATCCCTTTCTAAAGTCATAAAACTGATCTACGTACAAATTTTTCTGAGGTATCATCAAATAGGGTTTGCCTTTTATTTATCTAAATTGAAACCAAAAGCAACATTTACGGTTCAAGCCAACATAACATCATATAACCCCTTATTTAGTAGCAAATTGCACACCAAAAAGAAGGAGCAAAATGAAAAAGAAAAAGCAACATACGACAAAGCGGCTAATTCGTAGCGTTTGAATCAAATGATATGAGGCAGACTGAGAAAAGACTTAGGTTTGAGAGGACGGGGTTCAATCCGTTATAAAAAAAAAAAAACAGCACGTAAAACTGAACTAGATATGTTGTCGTAAAACAACATACGACAAAGCCGCCCATTCATATCATTTGACTCAAATGATATGAGGCAGAGTGAGATAAGGCCTTGGATTGAGAGGACGGGGTTCAATCCGTTATGAAAAAGAAATAGAACGTAAAATTGAACTAGATGTAGAGAAAGACTGTGTTTATCATGCTATGATGACTAAAGGCATGAAACTTTAGTTGTAGGCATTAGGGTTGGCCAAGAGGTAGCCTTCGATGAGCTTGAACAAACCGGCGGCCTTTTCTTTGCCTTCCTCAACTTCCTCTTCCTTGATCTCATAGTCCCCCTTGGTGTAGTACTTGCTGATGCTCTTCACAATGGATCCGCCGTTTGCGGACGCCACCAACTTGGTCTCATAAGAGACCTTCTCAACGACATCACCCAAAGCATCACCTTCAATAATGGAGTAACTATACGTGAAGTTTTCAGCATCAATCTCACCAACTTGGTGCTTCACATACTTGAATTGGCTGCCTTCACCAAAGGTAATCTTCTTGATGGTTCCGGGTCCTCCGTTTCCCTCCAAAACCTCGGCGGACTTGACCGCTTGGGGTGCAATCTTGGGAACGAGATTGTCGACATCGAGAGCTAAGGCCTTGAAAAGTCTTGCCGGCGGGATAGTTGAGGGGGTCTCAATCTCAAAAGTGAAAACACCCATTGTGTTTGTATGGCCACAAGAATATGGAATTGATTGAGTTTTCAAGGGTTTTTTTTTTTTTTTGGATGGTGGATATGTGATTAATTTCTAGTGTTGGTATTTATAGGCTCGAGAGTAGTGTTGGAATTTCCTATAATAACAAGCATGATGTGATCACAATTTTTGTTTAGAAATAGTATGAAATTCCAAAGAAAAATCCAAAATGTAGAATCATATTACATCCCAAATGATTCCAACAGAAGCGCATACCAACCTGCATCAGAAAGCACCGAAAGAAAATTAGAATAAAAAACTAACACCACGGAACAAAATTGGGCAGCATTAGAGATTATAGCCTTATGCCTTTCAATTTAACATGAATAAAAAGTATGATGCTTCATTTTCCGTGTATATACAATATGGAAAACGATGTTCTTGTTTTTAGACTATACGTCTCATGATTCTTAGGGAAAAAAAAAAAAAATACTACGACTCATGGAAAACGATGTTCTTGGTTTTAAACCATACTTTGTTGGTATGTGTTGTCTTTTGAATCTACTGTCCCTTATGGAATTTCCAGAACTCAAATTTCAATTAATGACGAATTCTTCTTTGTTTTTTTTTTTGGGCTGAAAACATGAACATATTTTAATTTCATTTCTAGCACGGCATGCTCTAGAGAGTACTGAAAATTAACAAGCCATCTTTTTCTTCCTTTTTTTTTAAATGATCTTTTTCTTCCTTTCCACAAACACTACAAATTAACATGCATTATATGCGCACAACAATATAACAATTACAAATTAACTAGCTTACAACTACGAATAACCATTTTAATTATCGAAAACCATTATAATAATCATTGATGAATAATTACAAAGCAAGTAAATAAAAAAATAAATACACATTATTTTAGATATATTGGCTGATTAGTATAGATTTTTCTAATAATTTTACGGGAAGTTGATTATTTTAACTTTTCCGCACATAATTTGTAATGGCCGGGAAAAATTTAGGTCTAATCCGGACAGCTAGTATTTGACCGAAATCTTTTCCGGAACAGATTGTTGTAGAAATATTGATGTAAACAAGAAAATGTTATGTAGAAACTTTATGTACGGGGTAAAATCTTCCGAAAAGTGTAAAGTTATAATACGAATATTTTTACAAAAAATATTCATAAATATCAGTTATGAATAGTGAAATATCAATTAAAAGTTAGAAATTTTAGCGGGTATATTTTAGTTATGAAAAACTAAAATATTTGGTATGTGACCAAATGACCAACTAAAAAAAAGAGTAGAAATATTAGAAGTAAGGAAAATAGTAAAAGTTCCTGAAACAGAATTTTCTCGAGTCAGTTTAAGCGGAAAACTGCTAAAAAAATAAGTACCGCAAGGGTACGCATTTTGGGCAATTCTAAATTAATTAAAATGATAATTTTAGAAAAAGAAATTGACTAATGAGATACCCAAGAGAATTGGGTTGAACATGAGAAGTTTGATCCAGGATACTCGACAGTCCAGAAAAGCAGGTTGAACCAAGTTATAGTATATATATATATATATATAAGATTATTTCTAAGTATGTTAAAAAAAAGAAAGAAGTGAAATGATTATTACGTAAGGGTGGCATAGGCTTCACATGCAGACAAAACACTTGCCGTTGTTACATTTGTTGGTGACTCACGTTGGTGACTCATGTTGGCTACATACTTCACATGTAAGGAATGCCTATGTAGTTTATGTTTAATGCCATTACTCACGTTGGTTACATACCTCACATGTAAGGCAAAGCAGAGAAAGGTTTGTAAAGAAAAAAACGTGAGAGAGGGAAGTAAAAAGAAAATAGATTAGAGAGAAACGGAGAAAGGGAAATCAAGGAAATTAAGTATTTTCACCGAAATTTCTTCCGTTCAGTCCGGTAGAAATGTAACCTGAGGTGTTCTAGCAAAAAACCTCAACTTCTGGAGGTAAGATTTCGAATTTTTCATGAGAATTCTATGATTTCTTGATTTGGATGAATAGTAACCCATTTTTTTGTTAAAATAAAAATTGAAACCGAGGTTTTGTAGAGCATCGTAATAGGAGTCTAACGGTGTAAGTATTATAACGATTGAACGAAGTTTTGGTGGATTTTCATTGAAAATCCGTGAGCCTAGATTAAGAAAGAACATGTGTTTTTGTTCAATTTTATGTTGAAATCTGTGTTCAGGAATGTGAATCTTGACTCCAGGTACCGAAATCAGAATTAAAACGAGTTATTGGAAACTCAGGAAACGAGAAAGAAAAACAAAGCGAAACTCTGCATAAATTTAGTTTGAGTAATTTGAACTAAAACTGGATTTCAAGAGGAATATGGGATTAAACTGTGAAAAGAAGGATGTTACGATAATCGGTGATGGTTAGAAACCGAACACAACGAGAATTCACAGTTTTGGACTGAAACTGAGGATTAGGCCCATGACTGAGTAACTTGCACAGTTTTAGTGTAAATTCTTAAGATAGGAAATAGTTTGAGATAGAATACCAAACATAAGAATTGTAGACCTTTTCGAATTAAATTTAAAGTGGTTATTGATCTTAGATTTTGAATCTAATGATCGAAAATTTATGCAATAGGATCTATTAACGATTGAAGTCGGGAAGCGTCAAGTGAGACAAATGACGCATTGTTAGTGGAACTTTGGTAAGTACCAGTAGTTTGTTTTTGTCTATGACACGAACAAACTTATTCTTCTGTGTTGCACAGAATTGTGCATATTACGTGCTCAATGAATGTTAGAATAAGAATGGTGTTTCTTGAATAATGTATGATACTATGAATGATTCTAGATGTATGATGTTAGGAATGTTCTAAGATGTATGGTGCTATGAATGTACTTATGGACCGTAAATAGTAGTAGAATTTTACTCTACGAAAAGTATGAGGTTAAGTCAAAGTCAATTTCATAGAAAATTGATAGAAATGCGTTAAAACCCAAAATAAGATTGAAATTACTGTCATGCTGAGAAAAGATGACAGTAAAATGACGTATAAAGAAATCATGATAAATTGCTCAAAAATGCACAAATTCATAAGATTTAACTAAAGTTACCATTTCAATGAGAAAATTGATAAACGGTAAGAGACCAAACATCCTGTGTGTACTAGCATTCGAAGGAAAGGTTATTATGAGACTATGAAAGAAATGAAACCGTGACTGAGTTGGATTGGTTAGCTACCCCACTCCTCACTGGTTATGCGTGCTATGGTACAATAGGACATGGCCCATAAGAACTAAAAGACAGGAAAATGAAACACAAAAACCATTCCATATAACGGTATGGTATCCGCAAACAAGAACGAAAAGAATGAGAAACACAAAAATGAAAGTCGTTCAGAATGTAAAAATACAATATGATCGACTATAATGAGATGAAAGCTAAACAAAGTATGAAATGAAAGAAGAAGAACATAAACCATATACGTTTTAGTAGTACAGAATGTATTAGGATATATGTCATGAATGCATATATGGGTATGCATAATTATTGTATCTATTATGACCTACTGTTACTTATTGAGCGAAAGCTCATTAAGTTTGTTCGTGTTGTAGGAAGCACGGGTAAGACACCGGCTCCCTGAAACTTGTTGCTGGGCATGCAGAGAGGATGCAGCAGTGGAATGTGGGCAAGTGGGTTGTGGATGTATCACGTGTTTTGGAAATGCTGCTAAACTTTATGTGTAAAAGAAAATATTGTTTATGAATTTTGATGAGTAGTGTAATAGAATACTAGCTAAATGCTACAACATTTTAAGAATGGCTGAGAACAGAATGCTGTCAGAATGCTACAACATTTTACAGATGGTTGAAAATAAAATGCTAGCTAAATGCTACAGCATTTTACGAATGGTTGAAAACAGAATGCTAGCTAAATGCTATAACATTTTAACGTACATGGTAAAAAAAAGAAAATGGCCTGAACTTTTAAGAGGTTATAACTAGTAAGTGTTAGAGGTTAAGTAATGTTAAGTATGAGTATATGATGATGACCAAAAGTTAGGGTCGTCACATAATTGTATTTCAATATGATTGGTATAAAATTGTCGAGCAGTCATTTAAGCTATTGCTAGAATATATATTCATTCCTCCCACGGAATGAACATTAGAGTGCTCTTTAAAATGAGAATACCGATTGACCATTAATCGTGAGAAAATTATAAAATTAGAGCAATTGTAAATCTTTTACCTTGTCTTTTTTATTTTTGTGGCCGGCAGATGTAGTTGAATAAGATAAATCAATTCAGAAAACTGCATATATTCGCCAAGAAAAGTCAGACAACTTTCTCGTTACAAAACAAGTTAAAGAATCTTAATTAGAAGACTAATGTTGATAATAATTCTTAACTTGTCTCATGTTGAGGATGCTATTAACAATCGTGCCACTAGAATTACAAGTCATGTGGATGCTAAAATATTATATTAACGATGAAATCTCTGATGATACCATTGGCTTAGATATTAATTATTTTTATTCATCATTGAATAAAAACAAGGTGTAGATCAACAACCTATTATTGGTGCGAATTTTGCTAAAGAGAATTGGTGATGATGATCATGAATTCGAGTATCAATATGGAGGTGATTAGTCTTATGGGTCCTTTGAATATACGGTGACAATTTATCAGCCAAATGCTCTACAAAAGACATATGAATCTACAAGACAATCATGAGCTGATATAGAAGACGATGAAGATACAGATGTTTATGAAATTTGAAGCCTCGAAGTGGACAATGCACAGATAATCTATATGATGACAACTGGATGATTGCTTATACAACAGGTACGTAATGTGGCTTATTGATTTTCGCATTGATACTGTTTTCTTGTTTTTTTTTGGTGTCGTTTAGTCTATATCTTGATTGTGAGCCTTGTATGTGCTCAGTGGAATGCATTGTTCACAAGTTCAATGTTATCATCCGTTGAGATTCTTGATGATTACACTTTCCTTGGTGCTGCAAACAACTCCAATATCACCAGTTTACAGAACAATGAAGGTGTTTATACAATGGGCAAACTTGATGTGGTTGGCAAGTATCACCTTGGAGAATTTATCAACAAGTTCCAACATGGCTCCCTGGTGCCATATTCTGATGCGTGTCGGATTCCAACCGTCACTTTTGGTTCTGCCGGTGGTGTAATTGGGATCATTGCTTCACTCCCTCGTGAACAGATTGAATTCCTCGAAAAGCTTGAAACAAGCACGACGGCAATGATCGATGGCGTCGGAGATCTATGAGTTCCTCAAAAAGCTTGAAACAAGCGTGAGGGCAATGATCGATGGCGCTGGAGATCTATGAGTTCACTACAACAATAAAGGTCATTTGCGACGACATATGTCGTCACAAATATTTTATTATTTACGATGACATGTCGTCGCAATTAATCCCTGTTAAATAAATTAAGCATGTCGTCGCTAATAAGTTCAATGTCGTCGCAAATAGTTTAGGCGCGCAATTTCCAATGGTGCGGATTTTTACCGCCAAAGGGAATCCATTTTTTGCGACGACTTGTCGTTGCAAATATCTTATTAGTTGCGACGACACGTGTCATCACAAATAATATCACTCTATTTGCAACGATGTTTTCTCTTTGTCGTCGCAAATAAGCTATACACATTTGACCAAGAACAAACGCGGGGGAATGATTATTTACGATGACATTATGTCGTCGCAAATAATTTCCAGATGTGGGGTATTTGCGACGATTTTTAAATTTATTTGCGACAACAATGTCGTCGCAAATAAGTCTGATCTATTATACTCTAACTTCTTCCTCTTCATTTTCCCCCGATTTCAGTCTCTCTCTCTCTCTCCTGCTAACTCTCCTCTCTCTCTCTCTCTCTTCCCCTCCCCTCTCTCTTGTTCCCATCTCCGGCCGCCGTTCCTGCCACCCCACTCCAGCCGACATGCTCCCGCCGCCCTGCTCCCGCCACCCCGCCCCCGCCCCTGCTGCCCCGCTCGAAACATAATTTCAGGTTTGTTTTTTTATTTTTTTTATTTTTGTAAATTTTGTTTTTGTTGGGTTACTTGCATTGATTCGAAGAATGTTAGGGATTTTTAGGGACTTTTGTTAGGGATTGTTGTTACTTGCCTAGTAAATGGAAGAAGGAAATAGAAAATAGAAAATGTTATGGATTTTTGTTCGAGTTTAGTCATTTTTTATGGTTCTGAGAATTTAATTAATCAAGAATTGTGTCTATATGTCACTCTAGATGTTAATAAAATGTTAATTTTGGTGTTTTAAAAATTATGTTTGATGTTTTGTTTTGATGTAGGTGTTTGATTTTTCACCTCCGTCACTGTTTGCACGGTTCCTCCGACGTAATCCTGCTATTTTCAGCCCCCGTTTAGTGGGTTTAAACTTTGTAAGTTTTTATATTTATTTAGTTTAAAATTGTTGTAGTTTTTGGTTGTATGAATTCAGGATTATGATGACAATATTTGAATTATGATTTTCTTATATTGTTGAAATTTAGTATATGTTTATGATTCTTGTTCTGGGTGACACATCTTGCAGCTATGGTGTGCCGAAATCTTTTAAAGTTATTTTTCTGCAAGTTTTGATTTTTGGATCATATGAAAAATAAGTTGTTATGCTGCCAAAATTTAGTTAGAAAACGAGAATTTTAATAAGTTCATTAAGAAAATGTAATTGTGTTAATAAAGAGTAGAATTAAAATTAATTAAACACATTAATAAATTGATATGTCTGTTGTTGTTTATCGTTCAAATGCCGATTGACAAAAGTTGGACTTAGTTGAGGAACCGATTGTCGGATGAATATTGGAATAGGTTATCTGCTTTTATTGACGGCGCCAAAAATTATGCAACTTCAATTGGCCATATCAGTTGTCCTTGTGTGAAATGTAGAAACCATGAAATGCATCTAGTAGAAACTGTGAGAGTGCATATACATCGATTTGGTTTTGATCCATTGTATAGTACATGGATTCACTATGGTGAAGTAGAAGCGGTTTCAGGTGTCGACCCAATAGTTAATCAACCAGTAGATGAGATGTTTGCAGTCTTAGAAGACGTTGCTGGGATTAATGATGACAATGAAATGTTGGATGAGACAAAGATGCACAATATGCTGAATTTAAGGATCTACTTTCTGAGCTCCAGGTGGGATTGTATCCGGGCTGCACTAAGTATTAATCTTTAAATTTCTTAGTGAAATTGATGCATGTAAAAGTGTTATACAAGTGGCCTAATGAGTGTATGGATGCTCTGTTAAATCTATTGAAAGATGCATTCCCGGATGTGAAGTTACCTTCTTCTCATTATGAGTCGAAGAAGCTCATGAGTAAACTTGGACTGGGTTACGAAATAATTCATGTTTGCAAGTACGATTGTGCTTTGTTTTGGAAGGAGAATGCTGATCTACAAACGTGTCCCGTATGTAAAACATCCCGTTGGAAGAAAAAAAAGACAAAGGGTACTAAACAAGTGCCGTGGAAAGTACTACGTTATTTCCCGTTAACAGATCGGTTGAAGCGTCTGTATGGTTCTCGTCACACAGCAAAAAATATGACGTGGCACCAGCGTGGGCGTTCAAATGATGAGGATTTAATGCATCATCCAGTCGATGGTAATGAATGGAAGGAGGTAGATGAAAAGTATCCTGAGTTTTCACGTGAGCTGAGAAATATTCACTTGGGGTTGGCCGCTGATAGTTTCAATCCTTTCGGGAACATGAGCCTCTCATACAGTATGTGGCCCGTGGTTTTAATGATCTACAATTTACCTTCGTGGTTATGCACTAAGGATCCTTATAAGATGTTGACATTGTTGATTCCTGGCCCAAATGCACCCGAAAAGGATATGAATGTCTTTTTAAGGCCCCTTGTGGATGAGCTAAAAGATTTGTGGAATGAAGGAGTAATTGTACGTGACGCAGTTTTGAATACATCATTTCAGATGTGGGCTATGTTGCTCATGACAGTTAATGATTTTCCTGCTTGTAGTAGTTTATCTGGATGGAGTGGTCAGGGCTATTTAGCATTGCCAACTTGTCACGATTCAACCCTTCAAAGAGGATAACAAGTAAGACTTGTTTTGTTGGCCATCAGCAATGGCTTCCTATTAAACATGGTATGAGAAAAAATAAAAAGTTTGATGGTAAGGTTGAGAAACGACCTCCACCGGCTCAAAAATCTGTTCACCAAATCTTAGCTCAGTTACAAAATGTTAATGATTTTCCTGCTTGTAGTAGTTTATCTGGATGGAGTGGTCAGGGCTATTTAGCATGCCTAACTTGCAATGATGCAACTCCTTCAAAGAGGATAACAAGTAAGACTTGTTTTGTTGGCCATCGGCAATGGCTTCCTATTAAACATGGTATGAGAAAAAATAAAAAGTTTGATGGTAAGGTTGAGAAACGACCTCCACCGGCTCAAAAATCTGTTCACCAAATCTTAGGTCAGTTACAAAATGTGTCCCTCAGATTGCCTAGTAAACATGAAAAGTATGGTGGTAAGAAGTGGAAAAGACATGCAAGCGAGCTTAATTGGACAAAGAAGAGTATCTTTTGGGAGTTGCCTTATTGGAAGTCATTGTCGTTACGTCACAACTTAGATGTCATGCATATTGAGAAGAATGTATGCGACAGCTTATTGGGCACAATTCTAGACATTGACGGAAAAAGTAAGGATACGGACAAGGCGAGAATCGATCTGCAACATATGGGGGTGCGCAAGGAGTTGCATTTGTACAAAGACGGTGATCGTTGGATGAAACCACATGCGTCTTATACACTATCTCCAGATGATGGTAAAAGTTTTGTGACTTTTTAAAATCAGTAAGGTTTCCTGATGGATTTGCTTCAAATTTAAAGAAAAACGTGATCGAAGGGAAGAATAAAATTACGGGGTTAAAATCACATGACTGTCACATCATAATGCAACGATTATTGCCAACAGGGATACGACCATTCATGAAGAAAGAGATCGTTGATGCAATAACAAAATTAAGTAATTTTTTCGAGTTAATATGCTCAAGGACATTGCGAAAAGTGATTTAGATAAAGCTTAACAAGATATTGTGCTTATTTTATGCAAGTTAGAAACAATTTTTCCTCCTGCATTTTTTGACATAATGGTACATTTAGTTATACACTTGCCTGAAGAAGCCATTCGAGGAGGACCAGTTCACTTAAGATGGATGTATCCGTTTGAACGTTTTCTTGGATCGTTAAAGAAATAAGTCAAGAATCGTGCATGTCCTAAGGGTTCGATTGCTGAGGCATACATTGTGAACGAAGCTCTGACTTTTTGTTCATTGTATTTAACTGGAGTTGAAACACGGTTTAACCGACTGGCCAGAAATTGGGTAGACGATGAATATCGTATTGTTAAAAAGATTTCTGTATTCGAAACTCGCTGTCGGTCAATTGGGAAGATGACCCCCATCACTTTGGATACTAATTTGTGAGAGAAAGCCGAGTGGTAAGTACTACAGAACTGTCTAGAAATTCAGCAGTTCATTGAGTAAGTACTACTTTCAGTTTTGTTACTTAATTGTTCATTGATTGTGTCGCATACAATCGTGTCCCTTACTTTCATTCTCTATTAAACAGTGACCATAAGATGGAGAGTGATGACGGCGGTCGAACCATACCATTGGATGAAATTCAATCGAAAGAGTTTCCAAAATGGTTTAAGAATAAGGTACATTTATAATTAATTTGCATTAACATTGTTAAGTCATTAAAAAATTTCGTTTTAAACAGAATTCATGTCTCCTTACAGATTTTCAATATTCGACAGTAGAATGACCCAGAAGCGAATGATCAAATACTTTCATTTTCAAGTGGTTCAAGCTTCTCATGTCGAGGTTATCCTTGTTGTGTGGTGAATAGTGTCAAGTTTCTGATACGCAATTGGGATATGAATCGAAGTACTCAAAATAGTGGTGTTTGTGTTCGCAGATCTGATAACCTAACGTATTATGGAGTTTTAGAGGATATTTATGAACTGTCCTACTTGAACGACAATTCTATTATGCTTTTTAAATGTCTGTGGTTTGACACTCGTCCGGGAAAGAAAAGGATTCAACACTACAAAAATAGAATAAGTATTTTTGTTAAAGACACGTGGTACGAAAATGAACCTTTCATACTTGCATCTCAAGCAGAGCAAGTTTTTTACGTAGACAATTTATTTAACGGTCCAAACTGGAAGGTAACACTTTAGACATCGACATATTTGGGACATTCCAGAAATTGACATTGATGACGTGATGATAGTCCAGGATACGGAGTCTACAAATATTGAGTTAGTAGTTGAACTACTAGAGATTGACTCATTTGTATTGAATCGACATGATGTATCGTCTAATGTTGTCACTTCCGATGTTGATGCAATTATGAAAGATAAGTCTCCCGTAGTTGATGATTTTATTAATGACGAGGACGATGAAACTTTAGAGGAGTACGTTGAGGAGGAAGTCATCGAATCTGAAGACGATGATGACATAAATGATGATGGGGACAATCAACAATGTAGCAGTGACGATGAGTAGAATTTAAGAATAGTAATCTTTGTCCATTTTCTCAGCTTTCGTTTTAATATTATGATCTTCTGTGAATTTATAAATATTGTTATTAATATGAATTTGTTCACAGGCATTGATGGCTGGTCCGGTAGCCATTTGCACTGGCTCTTCAGGGGGAGCGCAGCCTCCTCCCGGTCCTCACAGAGTCCCCGCATTCTGTGAGTCTGGTATGTTATTCTGACTTTTTTCCCGTTCTATCATATAGTAAATAAATGTAGTAGTACATGTTGATTTGAAATGCTTACATATGCTTACATCACCTGAACTCGACAACGTAGTGGTCGAGGTGGGGCGAAAGGTTATGAAATCTCCCAAAAGGTCCTTCAAGACGGAAAAATCATAGTAGAATATTATGAGGCATGAGGTACTTGGAAGACGCTTGGTAAATATGGTGTCTGGTTTGAAAGTGCAGTTGGTATTCATACCAGGGACATATGCGAGCCCTTCCATGATGCTTGGAAGGACATTAACGACATGGACAATAGGAGAATTCAGAACCGGATGCTGGTATTTTTTTATGTAATAATTTGTATAGTTTATACTAAAGTTAACAATGCGTTTTAAAGATGTGAAACTATTTTGCAAGGACTGGTTTAACATGGACTACAACTATAAGAACGGTATTCTGAGGTCCGTTGTTGATAGGGAGGTAGCAAAGTGCTACAAGGACTGGAAAAGTTCCCTGCACCGCCACTTCAAACGCTATGGTAGAGAAAGTCTCCTGAGTAACATGAGGAATCAACTTCATTGGGATCGTTGTTGCGATAGGTTCTCCGGCGACAAATTTCAAATAATTATAGATTTGTTAGAACTTGATGGTTTTTTGTACATAATTTCAAGTAGCTATTACTTATTATAGTTAATTATAAATAGAAAATATCATAGGCAAATAAAACTAATTGTAGCAACCAAAAGTATCCAAGCTTACATGGTCGGGTATCGTACTCTTAGCATCTCAATAAGATGGTTAGTACTTATTTTTTGACTTCATTATCATATTTATATGTTTGTGATGGTTGTTCTGGGTGGCACATCTTGCAGCTATGGTGTGCTGAAATCTTTTAAAATTGTTTTTTTTACAGGTTTTGATTTTTGGATCATATGAAAAATAAGTCGTTATGCTGCCAAAATTTAGTTAGAATTTAAGAATTTTAACAAATGTAATTTATTTGACAGTTCAGTACGGAGACCCAAGAGCTGATGTCTGCCATAGACAATTGGGCAGAAATGCATCGTGGTGGGGCCTCTTGGGTTAATCCCCAAGCGGAATAGACTTTTGCAAGTATTTTTACTTTTCATATTAAATTTTTTTATACTGAAATAGTGGTTTTATAAGACGTAAAAACAATTATAATGTCTTATATTATGTAGAACACCCTGGAGGAGGAGAGACAAATGCAGAGAACACAGTTTAATTCAAGCTCGACTAGACCCGCCTTTGACGAGCATGGGGTTTTGGAGCAAGTTCTTGGCATGCGTAGAGGACATAAGATAGGAGTGGGTCCGACGCTCTCCCAAAAGTATTACTCCAGGGCTTCTCCTTCATCTGCTGGTTTGTACTCGGACGCAACATCATTGGCTCAACCTGACCCACGTGTGAGTCGTTATTTAAAGAAATCGTACCAGAAACAAGTTAAGATTTATGACAATCAGGTGAAGGTGGTAGAGTTGGTGGCTAAATTGCAGCCAAACAACCAATTACCTACGATTGATTGTCCAGAACCAGTTGACCTAGATGCTCTTCTGCATCCTTTAGATGATGACAGTCCTGATGATGATTCAGCTGTTGGCGATGTTGCAAACTTAGACGGTTAGTTCCGTTATATGTACTATTTTATTTTTCACTTTATTTAGACTTTTATATTTTTTTAAACATTATATATGCACTTCATGTAGTATTCATAATATATTTTATAAATTTATTTAGATTTATTGTTTTTAATATTAATTTATATTTCACTTTTAATGTATCTTAATAAGTTATATTCAGTATGTAACATAATAATTTTTAATTAAAATTATTAAAAATTAATTAATTGCCACTTTTTAAAAATTATAAAAAAAATTTATTTCGGTTTTTTGCGACGACTTTTTTAGATTTGTCGTCGCAAAAAAAATGAGGTTATTTGCGACGAAAATTTGAAATGTTGTCACAAAAAATTATAATATCACGAGAATTTTACAACGGCGTATTAACGACGCTTGTCGTCGTAAAAACATTATGTCGACACAAATACGGTTGCGACGACACTATGTCGTTGCAAAAAAAGTTTTTGTGACTAATTATTTGTGACGACAAATCTGCGATGACACGTCGTCGCAAAAGTCATTATTTGCGACGACATGTGGGTTTTTGCGACGACTTTTTGTCATCGTAAAAACACCTTTTTCTTGTAGTGGTTCCTCGAAAAGCTTGAAACAAGCACGATGGCAATGATCGATGGTGTCGGAGATCTATGAGTTCCTCGAAAAGCTTGAAACAAGCACGAGGGCAATGATCGATGGCGTCGGAGATCTATGTCAAAAGAAGTGGAGATCAGTGAAGAAATTTAATTACTTGGGCGAGGAAGGGGAAGAATTTTTGGAAGCGTCTAATTTCTTGGACGGAGATCTTATCGAATCGTTCCTTGATCTCAGCAGAAACATGATGGACCAAGTCTCGGAACGAATTGGTGTTTCAGTGGAGGAGCTCTGCGAGAGAGTAGAAGAATTGAAAAGGTTGCATTGTTTAGTAGTCTTTAAAACGTGAATACAAGTCGTAAATCTTTTCCCATAAATCAACTTAATGTAGACATCGTCTAAAACCATCTGGTTTAGTGGCACTAGAGATTTCGGTGGCATGAAGTGGAATAAGACTTTGAGAGAGGGTGCGGTCGAACGTGATTTCTATTTAAAAAAAAAGAATTTATATATTTTATAAAATAATGCTCGTATTATTTCTAGAGAAAAGTATGCTCACAACCATGTCCAATACCAAAATCTTTGAATTCTAGGAGGATATATTTTGTAATTGAAGAAGGATTTGTCGACCATTAATTATTCAGAGAATATTTTTCACCAATATAGATTTTTTTTAAAGGCACCGCGTTCTCTATTGTTGATTTCTTAATATGAAAGTACTTTCCTTTCCTAGTGCATTAAAACAAGTACTTTCGTAATTACCTTTCAATTAAGAAGTATAGTATGTTATGCAAAGCCTCGAATTGTTTTACGGCAACAAAAAAGTTTGAGGGGACGAGGTTCCATCCCGCATTGTATAAATGACTAAAGGCAACTTTAGTTGTAGGCATTAGGGTTGGCCAAAAGGTAGTCATCGATGAGCTTAAAAAGACCGGAGGCCATTTTTTCGCCTTCCTTAAATTGCTATTCCATGATCTCTAGTCACTGATCTTGGTGTAGTACTTGATGATGATCCTCACAATGGATCCACCACCCGCGGATGCTGCTAACTTGATCTCGAAAGAGGTCTTCTCAACATCACCCCAAACACGACCACCTTCAATATTGGAGCTCCTATATGTGAAGTTTTCAGCATCAATCTCACCAACTTGCTTCACATACTTGAATTGGCTACCTTCACCAAAGGTAATCTTCGTGGTGGTCCCGGGTCCTCAGTTTCTCTCCAAGACCTTGACGGACTTAATGGCTTCGGGTGCAATTTTAGGAACGAGACCGCCAGCAACTACGGCCTTGAAAAGTCTCGCCGGCGGGATATATGAGGTGGTCTCAGTCTCGAAAGTGAAAACAACCATTGTGCGTGTTTGTATGGCAAGAAGGATATTTTGTTTTCAAAGGGATTTTTGGACGGTGGATTTCTGATTTCTCGTGGTGTCATTTATAGGCTCGAGAGTAGGACGTCGACGTCGTTGCATGTTTCTTTACTTGTGGAATTTTATTTATAATAAGCATGATGAGATCACAATTTATTAGAAATTAATATAAAATGCCAAGGAAAAATCCCAAATTTAGTAATGTATCAACATGAAACTAGCAGAAAGCATCAAAAAGATATAAGCATACAACTACTAATATAATAACTATGTTATCGAAACTAATACAATAAATGTCGACGAATATTGTAAAGCAAGCAATAAATAAATACACATTATTTTAGATATATCGGCCGATTTAGATATTTCTAATAAATTTAAGTTTAGGGGAAGTTGATTATTTTGTAACTCTTCCGTGCATTGTATTTCAATACGACTGGTACAAAATTGTTGCCTAGTTATTTAATTGTTAGCCTACAAAATTTTAAGGTAGAATATGTTCATGCCTAATACCGATTGATCAATTATTTGTGAGCAAATTATAAAATTAGAGCAGCCGTAAATCTTTTTTGTCTTCTTTATTTTTTGTGGCCGGAAGATGCAGTTGAATAAGATGAATCAACAAAAAAGTTTGGATTTCTTGTAGGCAACAAAAATTTAAAGAATCTTAGAAGACTAATTTGATAATAATTCTTTCTTTGTTGAGGATGTTATCAACAACGATGCCCCTAGAATTATAAGTTATAGGATTAATTTCAAAAATTTCTCCCGAACTATGACCCGTTTAACACTTTACCCCCCGAATTTTAAAAAGTAACATCCGGTCCCCCGAACTTTGTTCCGTTAACAAGTTTTTCCCTTCTGTTACAATAAGTGACGAAATTGCCACATGTCATTTATTTAGTGAGAATTAAAAGTAAAATTACGCTTATACCCTCCTAATCAGAAAAAGGCCCAACAAAATACATTTGTAATATATTTCAGGTACGTATTGGTTTTGAAAAAAAAAACCATTATATTTGAGCTCATTAGTGATCCATACCCGTCAAACGTCAGAGCGCAGGTGACCGTGCCACCACCGGAGACCTTCCCTTGTGCGAGCGCCGTTGCGACAGCCAAGCTCCTCCACGGTTGGTTTTCATTTTTGTTTGTAATTTTTCTTTGAAGTTGGAATTTTTTGCTCTTTGAGGAAATGAATTGTGAACGTTTCTGTTATGATACAATCTTTTAGTCCCCTTTTGCCTCTAATTGTATGATGGGATGGGATGGGATGGGATGGGATGGAATAGGTTATTTTACAAAAATCAAAATGGATTGCTTTGGAATGGAAATCTTAGCTCATTGGGTGGAAAATAATGGTTAGTAATTTGGGTTATACTGTTGTTATAATTTGCTTGCAGAATGTGAAGATGAGATTTTGGAAGGAGTAGATACAAGGTTATGTTGAAACCCGAATTTTAGGGGGAAAAAGGAAAAAAAAAAAGAGGGAATGTCTTTTCCGTGTTCGGAACCAAGATGAGGGGTTGAAAAAAATTTATAAGAAAAAAGGGGAGAAATCTTATAACTTACCTGGATCTGGGATTTTATTCCCCTTTTGTTGTACAATATCTGTGTTTTCTTTCTTTAATGCTTGAAAGGGTTGTTGCTAGTTAATTTATGATAATACCTAATCAGATGGGTCATGTGCTTGACACGTGGTGAATTCTATCACTTATTGTAACAGAAAAAGAAAACTTATTAACGGAACAAAGTTCGGGAGAAACGGATGTTACTTTTTAAAATTCAGGGGGCAAAGTGTTAAAAGGGTCATAGGTCAGGGGGAATTTTTGACAAACAATCGGATGAGTGTCTCCTCAACTTGCCTTTGATGCGGTTCTGCTCAACAATCTACAACCAATACATGCAATGAGAAAACAAAAAGTATGAACAAAAAAGAAAAAGAGAAAAATATTAAGTGTATGTATTTTAAAAATCGTTTCTTATTTGGTGTCATTTTCTCAGATGATGTCGTTTTTTTTAGTTCCTTGCTGTTTTTTGGGTACTTTGTGTCCTTTTTCAGGTTAATGTCGTGCATAGTCCTTTTATCATTTTTTTATAGTCCATATCATATGCAAATTATTGTCGTTTCTAATTCCATGTTGTTTGCAGATTTGGTGACGTTTTTTAAGGTTATTGTTGTTTGTATTATCGTTGTCGTTTCTCTACTCACGATGTTTGCATCGTTGTTGCCTTGCCGTTTTGCTACAGTGTTGATGTTGTGTTTTAGGATACAGTCCATTGTAATGATATCAATAATTTTGTGCTCTATGCTGTTTCTCAGGTTCATGTCGTTATCAATATTGTTGTTCTTGATGTTACTGTCGTTTGTGCCTTGTTGTCGTTTTTGTAGTTCCCATCATAAAAGGATTATATGCACACTCAGATATACATTATTGGAAACTTGAAACGAGGGATTTTAACTCTAGCGTTAGAGAAGAAAGTGAATTTTACACTAGACAGTCTTTCAACCAAAAGTATTTTTCGATGTAAATTAATTCCAATATTGATCCCTTTCTAAAGTCAGAAAACTGATCTACGTACAGATTTTTCTGAGGTATCATCAAATAGGGTTTGCCTTTTATTTATCAAAATTGAAAACAAAAGCAACATTTACGGTTCAAGCCAACATAACATATAACCCCTTATTTAGTAGCAAATTGCACACCGAAAAGAAGGAGAAAAATAAAAAAGAAAAAGCAACATACGACAAAGCCGCTAATTCATAGCGTTTGAATCAAATGATATGAGGCAGACTGAGATAAGACTTGGGTTTGAGAGGACGGGGTTTAATCCGTTATAAAAAAAAAAAAAAAAACAGCACGTAAAACTGAACTTGATATGTTGTCGTAAACCAACATACGACAAAGCCGCCAATTCATATCGTTTGACTCAAATGATATGAGGCAGAGTGAGATAAGGCCTGGGTTTGAGAGGACGGGGTTCATCAATCCGTTATATAAAACAAATAAAACATTTAGTTGTAGGCATTAGGGTTGGCCAAGAGGTAGCCTTCGATGAGCTTGAACAAACCGGCGGCCTTTTCTTTGCCTTCCTCAACTTCCTCTTCCTTGATCTCATAGTCCCCCTTGGTGTAGTACTTGCTGATGCTCTTCACAATGGATCCGCCGTTTGCGGACGCCACCAACTTGGTCTCATAAGAGACCTTCTCAACGACATCACCCAAAGCATCACCTTCAATAATGGAGTAACTATACGTGAAGTTTTCAGCATCAATCTCACCAACTTGGTGCTTCACATACTTGAATTGGCTGCCTTCACCAAAGGTAATCTTCTTGATGGTTCCGGGTCCTCCGTTCCCCTCCAAAACCTCGGCGGACTTAACTGCTTGTGGTGCAATCTTGGGAACGAGATTGTCGACATCGAGAGCTAAGGCCTTGAAAAGTCTTCCCGGCGGGATAGTTGAGGTGGTCTCAGTCTCAAAAGTGAAAACACCCATTGTGTTTGTATGGCCACAAGAATATGGATTTGATTGAGTTTTCAAGGGTTTTTTTTTTTGGATGGTGGATATGTGATTAATTTCTAGTGTTGGTATTTATAGGCTCGAGAGTAGTGTTGGAATTTCCTTTATAATAACAAGCATGATGAGATCAATATTTTTGTTTAGAAATAATATAAAATTCCAAAGAAAAATCCAAAATGTAGAATCGTATATTACATCCCAAATGATTCCAACAGAAGCGCATACCAACCTGCAGCAGAAAGCACCGAAAGAAAATTGGAATAAAAAAGTACCACCACGGAACAAAATTGGGCATCATTAGAGATTATAGCCTTATGCCTTTCAATTTAACATGAATAAGAAGTATGATGCTTCATTTTCCGTATATATACAATATGGAAAACGATGTTCTTGTTTTTAGACTATACGTCTCATGATTCTTAGGGAAAAAAAAAAAAATACTACGACTCATGGAAAACG